GCACCCCATTTTGCAGACCAGTAGCAGAGACTCAGAGAGATCAGGTCATGCGCCCAATGACAAACATCTCCGCAGTCTGCGCCTGGAGCGTCTCAGTGGAGCCAGAGGTCACACAAGCCAGAGGCCCTCGGCGTGCACGCTGCTTCCTCCCGAGCGTCTGAGCACCCCGCCCGGCGAGGGCGCAGCACCTACTTCTGACGGAACACGCTGTTGGCCTCCAGCTCCTCCTCCTCGCTGGTCTTCTCCAGGCCCCGGCCTCGGATCCTCCTCAATCTCTCCTCAGGGCTCACCGTGAGCAGCACGACCAGGTCGGGCCGGAGCAGGTCCTTCGGCCACTGGTAAATGGGGTGGTGGGCCGGGGGCAGGTGCTGGACCGCCCCGCTCACCTCGGTGGCGATGGCGTAGGCGGCCGTGCTGTGCCAGTACCTGGGGGGCCAAGGGGTGGTGAGTTCCCCGTCTGCAGAAGGAACCGAGGTGGCTCTGAGCACCAGCCACAGGGGTGCCTCTGCTCAAGCCTCCCTTGCACTGCATCAACAATAAATAAACCTGCATCTTCTGTTTAAAGTGTTTATAAAATATCAAGAGTAGCCCGGCCGGCGTGGCTCAGGGGCTGAGCGTCAGCCTATAAACCAGGTCATGGTTTGATTCCCGGTCAGGGCACAGGCCCGGGTTGCAGGCTTGATCCCCAGTGTGGGGCGTGCAGGAGGCAGCCGATCCATGATTCTCTCTCATCACTGATGTTTCTCTCTCTTTCTCTTCCTTCTTCTCTGAAATCAATAAAAATATATTTTTTTATAAAGAGTAAAATGCACAACCAGTGCGGATGTGACTCAGCGGGAACCGCTCTCAGGGTGAGAAGCCGCGATCGCATCGCCCTGGTTTATCTCCTTCCCGGAATTCATCCAGCTCTGAAGGGCCCTCAGGTACAGGGTGTCCCAGAAAACGTACGGACTTTCACAGCTGAGCGTGCAGTTCCGGAAGGAAACGTGTCTTAACAAACATGCCTTTACAATGACTCAGCGTAAGCATGAGTCAGACATGCTAGAGACACCCTGTGTTTATCACCCTCTCCTGTCACCGCGCGCTTGCTTCATGCCAGCAGAGCACCGACGGGAGAAGTCTTTGGCACCGTGTAGGCGGCCAGTACATGGCTGCTGACTCAGCCACAAACCGGCAAACCGCTGAGATGGCTGATGGAGGAAGGAGGCTGTGGTCGCTGTCCCCGATAAGGCAGCTCAGGACCTGGGCAGGTGGCATCGTCTTCCTCACGCCTGCGTTTCTCAGCAGGAGGGTGGGAGAATGCCCCGTGCCCACCCAGCTTCTAGGACAGCGGATGTAGCCTTCTGAGCGCAACGCCAGGCAGCGGGGCAGGAAATTAACGCATCATAGACGTTATTCCTGTGACCATCGTAACAGTTTCACCTAACACACACAAGTGTGGACTTGCGCATGCACGCGTGCCCACACACACACACACGTCAGGAAGGAAATGCCACCCTCCCTCTCACCCACCTGTCCACCACCACGGGGGACCTGGCGGACGCCTGGGCTATCTCAGAAGCCACAATGTAGTTGCCCAGAGAGTAGAAGGCTCTCCTGATGATGGCGGGCTCGTCGTCGAAGGCCTGCCGCCACGGGCTGATGCAGGCGGGCGGCGACTTCAGCAGGGCGGCCTGGAGGGCGCCTGCCACGGCCTGGGTCACGGTGGTTTTGCCTGCGGGTCACACGGCACATCTCAGCCCCCACCACCGTCCCTCCCAGGAGTCTCTCTCCTCTCGGGGAGCAAAGGCGGTCCTGCCACCGGTCCCTCGGCGCAGCTGGTTAAATCACGTGATGCTTCACAGCACGCGTGTCAAACTCACGGCCCGTGGGCCGCAGGCCTCGTTCGTTCGGCCTGCGTTAGGCTTTGAGTTTGACATGCGTGCTTCACAGACACTTGCAGGCCCTTGGGAACCTGGGATCCGCTCTTTGGTGTCGGAAGACCGGGAGGGGAGCCCGACTGGCCCTCTTGTTGGCAAATGATCGGCAAGCTCCGGCGTGGGGGCCGGATCGGCTCTGCTCACGCCCCTGACCTGCCAGCTGCCCCGGGAAAGGGCCCTCCAGCCGCCACACCAGGTGACACCATTGTCCCCGGGAACAGCCTGGTCACCTGGCCGGCCAGTGTGGCTCAGCAGCTGAGCGCTGACCCAGGAATAAAGAGGTCACGGTTCGATTCCCGGTCAGGGCACCTGCCCAGGTTGTGGGCTGGATCCCCAATGGGGGCTGTGCAGGAGGCAGCCGATCGATGGCTTCCTCTCTCATTGATGTTTCTATCTCTCTCCCTCTCCCTTTCTCTCTCTCTAAAAATAATAATAATAGTAATAATAATAGCCGTGTCCAGGGCCTCTCCTCTGCCTCCCCCGCACCCCCGCGTGCGCTGGGGGCTGAGTGCAGGCGCCTCCACTGTGTGCTCACTTCCACTTGGCGGCTCCCAAGGCTTCTTCCGCCCACTTCCTGCTTCTCCCACTCCCGCTCTCCAGGGGCCTCTGGTCACCTGGGGTTTCCTGACCACACCTCCACGGGTGCTGATTCTCGGTGGCGAGGACCCATCCCGCCTTCCTCGCCTGCCCAGCCCCTCTCTGGGCCGAACAACCCCCGCCAACCCCCCCCCCCAAGTTCTCCCTGACCGTCTCCAGCCCCCTGGCCTCCCCACCCAGGCTGCACCCACTGCCATCCGTGTTCCTGCGGCTCAATGCCCCCGCCCCAGGCCGTCCACCGAAGGGCTTCTGCGTCTCAGCGTCGCACCCCCAGCTCCTCCGGCACAGCCAGAGGCTCCCAGGCCCAGCGGACTTCCGTGCAGGTCTCTGGGGCAAGACCTGTCTGCCCCGGCACCTGCTGGCCCGTTCGCTGCCACACCCACAGGGAAACCCTCTCACCTGTGGCGTCCAGGGCCCTCCATGACGATGACCGGGAACGCGCCTCTCCTGCACCTGCCGGGGGCACCGGTCCACCAGCTCCAGCACCGCCCCGGGCCTCGGGCATGAAAGGGCGTGCACTGCAAACAGGCACGTCAGCGTCAGCGGGAGCCGGGCTGCGGAGGCCTCAGCTGAGCCGAGAGCAAGCCTGGAGCCCGCAGGCAGCCATGG